TTCTTGAAATTATCCCAGATTCTCCCTGCTCAGATGAAAAACAGGAACTCCCACAACTCGGTTGCTACCACCTTCATGTCATTGATCTCATTCCACTTAGTCTTAGAGTCCAAACACATCTGCCTTAGCTATCCCAGTAAAGAAGCCATGGCTTGTCTCCCCAGGAGCACTAAGCTAATAACTGGTACATCATCAAATCGCAAAGTAATACTAGTAATAATTAAAATATGTTAAATAAAATCGTGGATAAAGGCAATCTGTGAAAAACTCACCAATCTTCTGCATCTCCCACTTCAAAGTTATTCAAATATGAACTTAAGCAGAGTACAGATAGGCTGCCTCTCTTAAGCCCTAGAGAGAAATAATTTCTAAATCAGATAACATTTAGTGTTTTCTAGACACCAATAAGAATCAAAGAATGAACATACTGAAGATGAATTATGCCTACAGCCAAAAACTTTTCTGTAGTTGAGCATTTAACTTCACAAAATACACCATAAAATTTGGAGATGCTTCAGATTTGTATTATAATCAATTAAGGAATGGTTGAGGAAGGAGAGAGATAAAGAGAAAGGTAGTCTACCAAAATATGGAAAGGGAGACAGATCTATACCAAATAACCAGCTGCTCTAAAAGTAATCATAATTGGATTTGTTTTTTAAGAGGATTAAACACTGCCTAGAATGCCTGTTTTAATGCTACACAAACTTCGGAAGTTCTGGTCTTTAAACATATCTTACTTTCAGCTGAGAAGAAACTGCCGGACTGGAGTCAGACGTCATGAGGGGAGGAGGAACTCACTTTCAAATAGGACCATCCCCATCCTGCAGTCTACTGGCTTGAGATTTTTGAAAAGTATGTTGCATTTTTGCTTTTACAGTATAGAGCTGGTCTTAGCCGAGGCGCTGCATCTGGACACGCGCTGTGTTGAACAGAGGTTCGCCTGGGGAAACAGAACTAAAGCTTCCGTACCACCTTGGGCTCGCTAGTTTACGGAGCTGCCCCTGGGGCTGAGCAGAGCTCGGGCGCACCCGCACAGAACTCCGAGGTAACTGACCCCCCTGCGCATCTCCAGGGCCACCTTGGCACCTGCAGGAGCGTCCACTGCCCGCGGACTCCAGACAGGGTCGGGTGGAGACTCGAAGCAAAGCCGCAGGAGTTATATCCTCCTTCCAGTCTTCTGGCCAGACAAGGGGATAAGTGTCCCCGTCCTCACGCCTGGGTCACATTCCGGGACCGAAAGGGACACTGACCCCCACGGCTGTGTGGTTCTTGGATCCGGCACTGCCCCTGTCGGGGATCCCGCGGCGAGCCCGGGGGCGTGGGGTAGCCCACTGACCTGGGTGCGGGGCAGCAGCTCCTCTCCGGGCGGCTCAGGTGTGCGGGTCGCTCCCGTGTACCTATCCCACCTTTGAACAGGAGAACCGAGAACCGACCTACAGGCCACCGGCCCACCGATCAACTGCCGGACCAACCAGCGGACCGACCCGCAGCGGCCGAGTCCGGTGCCCACGTGACGGGGGCGGGGACCCGCAGGAGGCTCGTCCCGGAGCGCCCACTTCCCCCACCCCTGGGACCTTCCCCAGGGACCGCCCCCCTTCTCCCGCACCGACGCAGACCGCTGGGACCCGTCCTCACTGTTGCTGTTCCCCAGGGACCTGCCTCGTCAACCCCGCCCCTTCAAACCTGCCTTCTTCCCTGCCCCCTGGGCCGCGCTCGGGTCCGGCCCAAGCCCCGCCTCCCTGGACCGGCCACGCCCTCCCTGGAGCCCCGCCTCCTTCGTTTCGCCTCCTCCTCCTCCTGCCCGCCGGCACCCTTCTGGCGCAGGGAGGTCCCCGGGTGGGTCCCAGCAATGCTGCTCCCAGTCCCTGGGGCTTCTCCAGCCCTTCGGCACCGTTCCCGTGCCACGGCACTGAAAGCGAGGAAGAAGGAAACTTGTGTCGAGAATTGCGAAGAGGGAGAGAAGCGTAGAAAACCCGTACTAGAGGCACGACCAGCGTCACAACCCCTCTGGGCGTCCGGACTTCGCTGCCGGCGTGCGATCCCATCGCAATTGAGGTTGGCCTGAGGACAGACTCATTCCTCGTCTCTGAGCCGCTCCCCCAAACCCCGGTTGGAAAGCCCCAAGGCACCAAAGGTCCCTCCGCATTCGAACCCCGAGACCTGGGGTGGAGGTCCCTCTAGTGGTTGGCGCCAAACAAAAGCTCTGGTGCCCAGTCTGTGAAGAGCTGAGGGCAAGAAGCATTTCCCTGTGCCCAGCACCAAGGTCGGGTCGGTACCTTAGGTCCAAGGAAAGCTTTGGCGATGAGAGACCACAGGAATGGATTCTCGAATTGGGGAGGACTGGGTCCTGGAGACCTAGTCCAACACCTACCCCCTGTGTGTGGCCTGAATCCCCTTTAGTTGTACTGCTAGGTTGTGGCCCTGCCTGGGCCTCCAAGGACTGGATGCTCCGTTCAGCTGATTAAAATCCCTGCGGGCCTCAGATGGCAGTGACACCAGGGACTCTGGCACAGTCCCCAGCTCTGGCAGCAGTTACCACAGCCTTGGCCTCCAGTTCTTTACAGGCTGGAGTGTTGACAAACTCCACAGGACACGTCTTTTTTCAAACCAAATTTACCCCTGTGGTCTGAAATTACTGTGAGCCCGGAAGACTTTTACATGTGAACAGAACTTAAGCCACCCTGACAAATATGAGACGTGTGGTAACTGCAGGAACCTGGCCAGCAGCAGAGGAAGGCTGGGGCCCGTAAGAGTTGTGTTACAAGAGGACACTCTTCAGTTCTCTTTCACTTCCTTAAAATAGCCGCAGAGAGGCTTTAGTAGACTGAGGCTGTCACAGTTCACACGAGTTCATGGGTGTTTCCAATTCCCACATTTATTGCCCCAGTGGACCCACTGCCCTTACCCCAGCCCCCAGAAAATGCTAGCCCGCTCTTAGGACTATACAATTACTTTTTAAAATGTTATAAGCCACTGGCTGTCAAGCTTATTTGCACTTTGGAACCACGTGGGGGAAAAAGTCTTAAAAATACTGATGTCTGGTCCCACCCCCAGAGGTTCTGATTTAATGGTCTAGGGGTATGGTCTGGGCATTAGGACTCCTAAAACTCCCCAGATGATTCTTATGTGCAGCACAATTTAAGAACCATTGATGTAGGTCATGGAGATGTCAGTCTTCACTTAAATCCAGCAAGACCCCACAGCTGAAAAGTTTCACCTAAAAGAAGCCCAGGAAGGTGTACCCAGGCCTGCTCTGCATGCTGTCCTGCCCTGGCTCCCAGGAAGCAAAGTGCCACATTAACAGAGGCTTCCTGGGGAAATGTCTTGACCTAAAAGAGTGATTCTAGCTGCAGGGATTTATGGTACCAGGGTGAATTGGTAGGGGCAGATGTGCCCTGCAGTAATTGTCAAATCAAAGCATATCCCAGATGGAAGCCAGACAGTACATTACCTCTCCTCTGCCTCCAAAGGTACTATGTGAGCAGGACCAACTCCTACTGATAATTGTACTCCACCCTCTGTGAGGCAGGACACATTCCTTGTATCTGTGATATAGGTAATGTTATATCCCTGTGGGGCAGGGGACAGGTTATGTCCCCAACCCCATGGACTGGGTAATATCACCACGTTTATTAATTCATACCTGCCTTGTTCCACAAAAGATTTGGGCTCTTTGTACCATTCATTAGAACTGTGGGTAATTATGCTATATCCATGGGCTGGGTAAATCCATTTTGCCAGAGAGCTACACAAATGCTATGAAAAAAAAAAATCTCTCTGTGCTGCCTACCCCATCCTGGGCTTGGCAAAGATGTGAAAACAGCTGCAAGCACACAAAGCAAACCCTCTCATGTGACCAACCTGGAAAGACAGAGGCCTTGGCACATGACACAGACTGGCACAACAGCCTGCACTTGTGACCCCGAACTTAGCTGAATTGGACAAACACGTGGGAAACACTGTGAAGCCCCTCTTAAGAGGCACACTGCCCTCTGTGCCACACAGCATGCCTGCTGTGGCAGAGAGTTGCTTGCCTGCTGTCTGGCTTCCATCCAGATTCCAGAATATTTACCAAGGGCTCCATTGTGTTGGGAATTGTTTGCAGTAAACCCAACACAGGCAGCATTCCCTGAAGTCTTTCATGCTAAGGGTATATAGGCAAATATAACCTGCTGAGGTTATTTGCTTAGTGTCACTTTTATTGTATTTAAAGCAAGAAGAGAGAGCAGAAGACAGTAAGACAAGATGAGGCTAGAGTTGGGGTCCTCACCCTAAGGCTGGTTTTCTGGAGGAAATAGGCCTATGGAAAGGTCTTGTACAGACATGAAAACTGGCTAAAGGGGCAGACAAATATTTAGGCTGAAATGATGAACACAGTGACTATAAACGACTAGGCAAACAAGCATACATATTTGATGCTTCCTTGGGCAATGGAAAGACTGTGGGATTTGTAGTATTTTGTAGTTCTTTCACTTTGTAGTTGTGTTATTTTGAATGACACCTAAACTCTCCTCATCTCTAGAATGCCGATTGTAAAGACTTGTGCATATCTCACAAGGGTGAGATGAGAATTAAATGACATGCAAACACTTTGTAACTGGAAAGTGGTATTCAAATATTAATGTTTTTACTCTATTATCATATCCATCTAGCTTGGTGGAAGGGCAGGGCTAGGAGAAATAGAGATTAAAGCTCAATGAGAAATAGTACTTTAGTTGGACAGTGAAAAACAGGAAAATATCAATAGGCATTTGAGAAAGAGGGGAGAGCTTGAGCCAAGGCCAGAGGAGAGAAAAGCCAGTGAGTATTAGGGGTTGGCATACAACTCTATCTGTTGCAGCGAAGACGGCAGAGTTAGGGTAAATGCTCAAGAGCAGTAGAAGAAAGGGCCGGAAGTAAGCTGGATCAGAATGCTGTTGGCCTTGAGAGCCAGGAGGTTTGGGTGAGTAATGGACGTTTTTGAAAATTTCCCAATGATAGACTCTCGTCTAAACTCTTGGAAGACACCTAAGGCAGTGACATCTGGGAAAGGATGCATCGAGACCCAATTTCTGTGTGTGATTAGAGGGATGTTACACCGTGAAGGGGCCATGTGGCCTCAGTGTTCTGGAAAGCAGCTGCCAAAGCATCGGTGCTCTGGCTCTAATACATCACTCTCGAGGCACCTTTCTCTTTGTCTGGAGTTTGTAAATGATCTGGTTTCCTTCATTCCAGGCATAGAGCTGCTTATCTCTGGGGTTGTAATGGATCATGGAGTGACTTCTTGGCCTCCTGGGGAAGAACAAGTTGGGCAGGTCCTCCTCACTGATAGTTCCCAGTGGATCATAGACGCAGGTGATGCGGTGAGGTCCCTGGCCGCCAGAACTGTAGACCACGTACAGAACCCCGCACAGAAGGAATGAGGCTTCGGCATCCTGGCTTCTGCATGGAGTGTCCCATGAGTGCTCCACTCCCAGCGTGTCCAGCTCAATTTTCGTGAGAACCAAATGGCCATAGGTGCCTGGCCCTGAGTGGATGGCCCAGAGCCCATGCTCGTCCACAGCTAGGTCAATGTAAGTTGAGGGGGAGTGCTGGTAGACCAGTGCTCGGCCCACCCCTCCTGGGAGCAGCATTCGGTCTACCACAGTCCTCTTCTGCAGATTATATTTGATTATCTCATTAGCAGTCCCTTGATTGTGAAAAAATAGAAAACCTTTGTAGATCACTTGGCCTGTTCCCTGCCAGGAAAGTGTTAGAATTAGCTTCCGGGGAGCTGGCTTGGTGTTATCCTCCATGAATGCGTGCATGTTTGCAAATTCCCAGACAACGTTGTTTCTGGATCCACTTAAAAAATACACCTTTGGAGAGTTACTGTTAGCATCTTTCATCCAAGAGCCATGTGTATCTATCGTCCTCTTCACTATTTTCAGAGACTTTATGCCCATGAGCATGTTGTCACAGCCTGGCCAAACAGGGAAAAAAGGAGAGGTTACTTTATAAACATGAGATGTCTACTTTCTAGAAGGCTCTGCATGCCTGGTAAATCCTATTTCCTTTCAGCTCTCATACTGGTGAAGAATATTTTCAATTCTACTCTGAAATGATGGTCCTTAGAAGAAGATTTTCTCCTGGAAAATCCTAGAGCAAAAATGAAATGTAGGCATGCATTTCGTTTTCTTTCTTTCTTTTTTTTTTTTTTTTTTTGAGACAGAGTCTCGCTTTTATATTGTGATCATTTATTTATGTGTCGGGCCACCCAGCTATATTTAAACATATTCTTAAAAGATTTTCCCATAATTTGCACATGTATTGTAGCCATCCTTCTGCCTCAGCCTCCCGAGTAGCTGGGACTACAGGCATGCGCCACCATGCCCGGCTAATTTTTTCTATATGTATATATTTTTAGTTGTCCAGATCATTTCTTTCTATTTTTTGGTAGAGACGGGGTCTCATTCTTGCTCAGGCTGGTCTCGAACTCCTGACCTTGAGCGATCCACCCGCCTCAGCCTCCTAGAGTGCTAGGATTACAGGCGTGAGCCACCACACCTGGCCCATTTCATTTTCTTAATAAAAATGGCATTTAAATATCAACAAGAAGCCAAGCTTATTCTCTCACCTATTTATTCTCACAGATTGCTATTTTTCATCCTTAGTGTCTAGAATAGTTATTACACATAGATCAATCACCATTTATGGTATGATTCAATTAATCAAAGAACAAATGAATACATGGGTCTCTGTTAAGAGAGTTACTATACAGTTCTAAGAATGGGCATTCTATTCACTTTAGGATATAAACAGCTATTTGTTGGGTCAGAGACCCTGTTCATTCTTCTAGAGCACTTGGGATTGGCACAGTGAGAATAACTTAAGTGTGAAGCCACCTAATTCAATTCCATTTACCAAGATTTTATTGAGTATCTACGATGTACTTAGCTTACAATGCTCCCAGGAACAGTGTTAAGTATTGAGGATGAAAAATTAATATCAATCCTAAACCCTGGGAAGGTCATGTTCTAGTGAAGGATTCTGGCTCTTATCACTACTACATCATAAGAGCTTTAATCCATTCATGAATGTATGAGTCCATTTAGTCAGCAGACATTGGATACCTACAAAAGGTGAGATACTGAGCTAGGTGTTATGAACTGGGGATACAATCATAAAGTGTGCATGGTTCTTTCTTAATAGGCAGTACTTAAAGTGAAATTTTTTACAAAAGGACAGAGAAGGGAGATGTCATTTGAGGCAGGAAAGAATCTGCATTTGAATTGAACGTTGAAGGATGAATGGAATTGAACACTCAGAGAGGAGTGGAAAGAGCATTCTAGACAGTTAATAAAATTACTTTAATTCCTGTCAAGGTCTCCAGCAACCTCCCTGTTGCCAAATCAAGGGTCAGTTCCATCTTCATTCTATGAACCTTGCAGCAGAATTTGATTTGATCACTACCTTCCCTTGAAACTCTTCTCTTGATTCTAGGACACCTCCCTTGTGTTTGTCCTCCCATCTTTCTGGATTTGTTTTCTTGGCATCCATTGCTGGTTCCTTCTCATCTTCCACTTTTACATACTCTGTCCTCAGGCCTCTTTTTTTCTCTAGCTACAATCACTTTCTAAGTCATCCTGTCTCATGGCTCTGGATTCCATGGAAATTCTAAATAATGACTTACAGCATGTATCCTCAGCCCTGTCTGGATATATACTTGGCCCCAAACCCATTTATTCAGCTGCCTACTCAACATCCCCACTCAGATACCTTCAAACCTAACCTGCCCAAAGCAGGACTTTTACTTTATCCCCCAAACCCTCTTCCTCCCTACTTTTCCCATCTCAGGCAAGAACCGTCAACCAAGTTTCTTACCTACCTTGATTTCTTTCTTCCATCACCCACCATCAGCAAGTCCTGATAGTAAACTTACCTCTAAGTTAGGATGCTCAAATATACATCTTACTTTCTACCAGGCATCTCCTCTTCCCCTGTAATCATCAAACATCACCTCCTGCCTAGACCACTATGACAGTCTCTAATTTGTCTCCCTGATTTTACTTTTGCTTACCTGTGTTCTCCACAATGCAGTATGAGTGATGCATTTAAAAACATAAATTATGTGACTGGTCTAGCTAAACCCTTTCTCCTATCATGCTTGGAATAGAATCCTAACTCCTTACCCTGGCCTGCAGGACCTACAAAATAGGGCCCTGCCTGTCCTTGGACTCTATCTTGTACCCTCCTCCCCTTGCTCCCTGTGTTGAGCTCACATTGTCTTTCTTCATATGCTGTGCACATGCCAGGTTTGTCTCTGCCGCAGGGCCCCTGCACTTGTAGTCTTCTGCCTGGAGTGCTCTTTTTCTTGACCTTCCCACACCTGGCTCCTCCTTGGCTTTCAATTCTTATGTTCAGTTTCATCTCTTGAAGAGGCTTCCTATGACCACCCTATTGAAATATATCCACCCTAAAATTATCTCCCATAGCACTTTTCTTATTTCCTTGAGATCACTTATCATACTCTTGTCTATTTACTAGCTCTTTGTCCATCTCTCCCACTCCTAGACCCCTAGACTCTACTCCCTTGTCTTCCTGGATAGTGTTGCACCCTAATGCTTGGCAGTGCCTTGGGGGTTCAGTAAATATCTGTTGAATGAATGAAGAAAATAGCCTCACTGAAGCAGATTATTTTTCTAGAGTCTAAATAACACTGCACATCCGGAATTCTGACTGCAGCTCCATCTTAAGTAAATAATAATTTGAAAAGTACTTTTAAGCTTTTAAGATACTTTCAAATCCATTATTTCATTAAAAAATCAGACCCAAGGTTCTCATTGAAGAGAACATGGCAGAAGCGGGGGTGGCGAGCAACCTTAGCTGGGAAGAGCCGAGTCCCAAGAAGTCAGTCCCTTCAGGGGTCATGTCCTCATTGGCCGCTCCCAGGGGCACAGAGGCCTTGTCTGGCCCACGCTGTGTCCAGAGCCAGACCTGGGACAAGCTGCAGAAGTCTCTCAGCCATCCCCTGCCCTGGTGTCCCCCTGCTGACATGCTTCGCCAGCCTTAGGGGTTGCCTTCTTGTGGCCTCTGGGTTGACATTGTCCAGGTTGGCCTGGGTTACAGGGAGCCAGAGCCCCTGGGAAGGCGGAGAAGCCTGGGCCAGCTGGGAAACCCATGCATGGCAGAAATAGCTAACAGAAAGACCCCTGCTACACTGAGCTACTGGGGCCACAGCCTGTGATGTGGAAGAGGGGGAATGAGCTGCCCTGTTTACCAGGGCCCCATCTCTGCCTGAGCCCAAGAAACCCTTTTTTCATTTTCACAAACTGAACCTGTCTCATGTGAGGCCTCTGCCTTTCCCAGATTCTATGCTGACCCCAGAGGATATGTGAGTGAAGGTTTAATCCTGCACATGACCATAGAGGACTTTTATGGGGTGGAGGGGGGACATTCGTGGGCTATTAGAAATGCCCAGAAGCTGTTTCCTATTAAGGAACAATCACAAGGGCTAGAGAAGTTAATAAATATCTGACATATAATATGCTTGGTACTGTGCTAGGCACCTTATTTACATTAACTCATGTAATGACAGACTCTCGCCATGTGGCTCAGGCTGGAGTACGGTGGCTGTTCACAGCACAATCATTACACACTACATCCTCGAAATCTTGGGCTCAGGGGATCCTCCTGCCTCAGCCTCCTGAGTACCTAGGACCATAGGCACGAGCCACCATGCCCTGCTCTTTTTGTTAAAATTTTTTTAATTTTATTTTTAATTGACAAACAATAATTATACATATTGATGGGGTACCAATGTGATATTTTTATATATGTTAAAAATGTGAAACTCATGTAATTCTTACAATATATTTAAGTGGTAGATATTTTAATTTCATTTTCCAAATGAGAAAAAAATTAAGGCATGTACAGTTTACTTGAAAAGGCCACACAGCTATGAAGTGGTAGGGGTGGCGTCCTCGGAGCTCAGTCTGAGCTGCGAGGCCGGCCCAGCCAGGACCCATCCAGCCAGCCCCAGGGGCATGGTGGTGGTCGTGCAGGCTTACGGTGGGAAGGAATGGAGAGTGGGTGCCTCTGTGCATGCCTGGAGAGGGGTGGGTGAGGGCCATGAGCTCTCTGGGACCTAATTATGGAATGTGGGCCTTGACTAAGAAGCCCCCAACCTGCCCATCTCTCCTGCCCAGAGGAAGCCAGTAGGCTTGCAGCCCAGCTACCGAGGGACTATGCCTAAGAACAAGCACATTAAGGTCTCACCCATTAGAAAATGTTCATTTAAAATACAGCCGAAACTAACACAAACATTCTTCTTTCTCCTTCTACTCCTTTTTAATGCAGAACCCTTGGGGAAATAACAAAAGAGTGGGTTGATATATGGTTTTGATCAGGGAAACACAGTTCTGGGGAAAATGAAACACAGAATTTTCCCCATGTCCCTTTTGTTTCTCTTGTTTCTTCCTTTGTAGATGAAGCCTGGGTCTGAGAGTCAGGGATCTGAGGGGCTCTGGCTCTCTCTGTGTCCCCCTAAAAGCCCCTGTGTCAACCCAACTTTAGTAATCCCAGCAGAAAAACAAAGGGTTTAGGCTGGATGCCTTTTACACTTTCTTCAGGGCTGACATTCTCTAAGTTTTAAAAATTTCTCTTCTTTTGGAGTTTGGGGAAATTAACTGATCAACACATAAATGCACATATAAGAATAACATCTATTGGATGTTGGGT